TTCCCGCCTCGCCGCCGCTGTTGCCTGCGGCCGCCATCTTGTAAAGGAAAAAAAAAAACCCCCGCCCGCCGGCGGCGGCCAGGAAGAGCCAGTCGACTGCCGAGCGCCTCCAACGTAGGAGGCAGGGCACGCGGCCTGCAGCAGAACGCCGAGCCGATCGATTGACAGGCTGAGAGAGGCCTGAGGCCCGCTGGCACAGAGCGGAGCGCAGCAAGCGCCTTGTGTAGTGGGCAACGCTCCTGCCCCGGGCTGGTGCTTCCTCTGGTGCACCTACAACCCCTCCAGCTCCTGGTCCGTAAAGTAGCGCGCACACACGCTCCTAGTCCATCACCTAGCACACAAGCACCCCCACCCCATAGCTCTGACCACTCTTATTCCTCCCTCTCCAAACTCAAGGCTACCATTGCATGCCCCCCACCCACCCCTCACCTCTTTTGAGGCAGGTGCATTTCTTAGAGCTGTTTCTGTATGCAGTGCATGCACATTAGCTGCTGACTGGGGCTCCTGTTACATGAAGGAAGCCAGCATTATTTCTAATCACAGCACAGAGCAGCTGCCACACACACAGCTATTCCAGGATCAGGGTTAGCGCATGATGGAGCTGGGATGTATTCCCATGCTAGAAAACCACAAATACTGGGAGCTACAAACACTTGGTTGATCTTCACATTCAAAACCTCTGCCTGAGATAGCATGATACTAATCACCTTTTTGCAAAACACTTGTCCTAGTAGAAAAAGCATTTCCTCCCAGGCTTTCCTACTACAGCCCCATAGAGGAACTGCCTTTAATTCTTACCTCCACCCTCATTTTCCCTAAGCGACGAGGAACTCTGCAGCCTTCCTTTATATAGGTTTCAGCATGCAGTCACATGATGATAGTCAGAGGCCTTCTTGAGCATGTACTGTCTAGAGACTACAATTCCCAGCAATCTTTGGGCTTAAAGGGGCTATGTCCTGCATAGGTATGCTGGATGCACGTGCACTTACATGCCTTAACTGTGTTAGTCACCCTTTCATTTTTAAGTTCTCATCCAAGCACATTTATTTATTAATTGTTAATTTATTAATTATAACTATTATTATTATTATTATTATTATTATTATTATTACATCTGGAGATTAAGGGGTTCGCTGTACTACCTTATTTAAACACATGCTAAGAACTAATCCTTGCCCTGAAGACATTTAAGCATTAGCCCTGGGGGAATTCCGTGTCAAAATTTTAAAAATTCTGTATGCAATTTTTAAAAATTCTGCAAAATTTTGCATATTTCGTCATGCCATCTTCATTTATTGTTGCACTTTATTTAAAAATACTGTCAGCAAGTATGTTTGTAATAATACAGACAACAAAAAAAGATTCAGGAAATGTCATTTTTTCTTCTGTGCTACTGCTGGCAGTGATGCTGCCTTCAGAGCTGGGCACCTAATCAGCTGCCACCACTTTCCACCACTCTGCCTTTAGAGCTGGGAGATTGGAGATGAGGTTTCATGAGGGAGACCAGATTTTGCGATTTCTGATGCAATTTTCATAACCGCAAATTTGGTAGACCCTAAATATAAGAGGGAATATCGTGCTGCTAAGATCAGATGCAAAACTGGAAGAAGGAAGCATTTTGATGAAAATCACAAATTTTGTGTGTAAAAATAAAATTCTGCAAAGAACATTATTTCCGTATGCATAGGGTTTTTTTTCCTACTGGTGTTAGTGAAGTGACATGCATGAAAAGCAAGGGCACTGAAGTGAGGTGCATGCTGATTACACACAACATTGACTGTGAGAGTCATGCGCTCCATTCAATCAAAATACAGCTACATTCAATCAAAATACTGCTACATTCAATCAAAATCCTGCATTCAATCAAAATACAGCTACAGTTCAATCAGTACACCTTGCAAATTTTAGGTACACATGCATAGTTAGCAAAACTTCTCTATCCTCTGAGATCATCTTGGTTACAATAATTTTGTGGCCTACTGAAATGAAGGAGAATCACTCATGCAGCCCACTCAGTAGCCTAGGTTGCCCATCACTGATCTACAACATTAAGAAATTGTGGCATTTCTACATTTCCTGAAGAATTCACTCTAGAGAAGTTCCCTAATTTTTAGACCCCCTTTGAAAATTTCATGCTAATAAACTAAAATCCTAATAAATTAAAGTATAGAACTATAGTAAATACAATAAAAGACACCCCTTCAGGTTGTTAAAACACAACCATAACATGCTGAGGTTGATCTTGCTTTGAAGAGAGGTTTGGAATAGATGATCTCCTGAGGTCTCTCCCAATCCTAATCTTCTATGATTCTATAGAACCTGGCGGGCTCTTAATACATTTGAAGTGCAGAGCCACAGCAGTCCTGGGGGTGGTGTGAGCCAGAACTATTCAGTCCTGCCTTGTGCCTGGGAGCTAACCCCGGAGCCTATACTTATCGGGTAGTCAATTACTCGACTAGTCACTTACATCCCTAATGTCTTGATCAGCCTCTTAAATCATTTCAGCAATCTTTCTGATCTGCTGTATTGCAAAACCTCTCTAGTGAAATCCGTTTCTGTTCATTGTCATGGTCAATAACAGGATCCAAGCTGTCAGGTGTCTTGAGCATATGCTTATGATTCCTTCATAAAATTTTGCCTTTGTCACAGTTTCCAGGTAACTGCTACCATATTTTCTCCCTCTGAGTCTGTTCCTCTCCAGTTATGCCTCAGACTTCCAGACTCACCTGTCTCTTGACGGTGACAGTGTTCTGGGGGGAGGGGGGTACCTTCTGACCAGATCTGGGGGTTAAAGCCTCACAGCTCTTGCCATGCACTGTGAAATTCTCAGCACACTGGTCTGCCTAAAGGCCAGCATTTGGGCTGTGCTTTCTTTCCAAAGGCTATAAACAATGGAGTACCAGCAGTTACAAGTTACCACAGAGCTCTTCTGGAAAAAAGTATATTTATTCTTAGGGAAAAAGCATTATAGAGAAAACATATAAAAATAATAAAATTCCTACATGCTTACTTAAAGTTTAACAGGTGTCACCCTGAATTTCAGTATAGATAGGTTCATCCAGGGGTGACATGAGAGGGGGCACAAAGAGTCACTGCCCCGAATGACATTGGGGGAGGGGCATGAGACCAACAGCTGTCATGTAGAGCTGTCCTGTCCATTGGACAATTTGGAGCACCTGCCCGAGCCCTGCAATATGTGGGCCCATGTGGAATGCAGCATAGCCTGACGGACTTTCAGTCAAGGACGCCATTTCAAACCCTCCCAAGTTTGAATCAGTATATGCTAAGCACTTCAGGGGGTGGATCTTCTCTGCAATTGTTTGCAATCCCATGGACCAGTGTTTCCCAAATGGGTGTCTGTGAAGTGAAAATAAGGGTTCCATGAGAAAATTCCATTACAGTAACATGTTATGATTGAAAAATAATTAATATTTAAGCATTTATGAATTTTATTAAAAACAATTTTCATTTGTGTTTGCCACGATAAGTGTCCCCGTGTAATGCCAGCTTAGCCAGAGAGTGGGGATGATGATGTCACTACTCAGCGCTGTGCGCACAATCAGTTAGTGGTGCGGATCCCCTGTTATATAACACCGTAAATCCCCATACTCACTCTCAGGGAGCATGGATCATGTGGGTGACTGAATACGAATATACTGGCGCCGCGTCGGACAAAGTTGAAGCTCTGTGATTTTTGTTTTTAAACATGTGCAATTAAACTAAATGTTGATCTCATGACCTTGTTTAGCATTTGCTTATTATTATGCTTACTTATTTGTGGTCTACTTTTTTAGCTCCATATATAAGACTGTTATTAGGGGTTCTGCAAAATTCTTTCGAGGTTAAAAGGGTTCCGTGGCCAAATAAAATTGGGAAACACTGATGGACAATCACTCCCCACTCTTTTTAGTTCCTGGAGAAGATGTGGTAACCCTCCTGTGAATGGCTCCTCTCTCATAAATATGCATAGCTCAAAGGTGCTTTAGACAAAATACCTCATGTAACCTGTCAGTTTTACTGTTGCAACCTGATGGATCTATATATCCTGTTTTGGTGTATGTATCATTCTTTTACATTAAGTTAGAAATATGAAGCATAAGTCTGCTTATAGTTTTAAATGTGCTAATGAGAGCCATTATCAGTGCTCTGGAAGCCTAATGATTGGTGATCAACTTAATGACTTGTAATTTTTTTTAAACAACAAATAGTCTTGCAACACCTTAGAAACTAACAGAACATGTAGATGGTATCATGAGCTTTCGTGGACACAACCCACTTCTTCAGATGAATGGACTTAAGGGGTCTAGGGTACAAATAAATAGCTGAGGAAGAGAGGGAATGGGGAGGGAACAATAAGAAAAAAATGCTGAAACATATTGTCAATTAGAGTGTCCGTGCTAAATGAGGCTAATAGAGTGGTCTCTAAGTACCCAGTGCTTAGCTTTTAATGTCATTAAGGAGTGGAATGTAACAGCCCATCCAGTTCAGATCTTTGTTCAGACTTCAATTCCAGGTGTCAAACTTTTAAATAAAACCAAGTTCTGCAGCTTCTCTCTCAAGCTGGTTTTTGAAATTGCTTTGTAACTCACTAATGGATCTAAAAGTGACTATATTATTACAAAGCAATTTCAAAAAACAGCTTGAGAGAGAAGCTGCACTGGGGAGCCTGTGCTGGTGAGGGTTGTGGTTTTTTTGTTTCTTAATTGTGTGCAGTCCTTGACTGATTTTTCTGTAGGTTAGTGGCCCCTGACCCAAAAATAGTTCCCCACTCCTGCCCTAAAAGGATACAAAGAGGGCTGGAGACCCAAGTCAGAGTAAAAGAGTTTGTCTCTGATTTGAAGATTATGCCTGAAATGAGAACAACTATTTAGGATGTGAATCTACTTGTAATTAGTTTCTTAGTGAATTAGAACTAGCTATGCATTTTCTTTCCATTTTAATTGAGTAACTCATTTTGATCTGTCTGTTTTCATTTGCAACCACTTAAATCCTACTGTTTGTACTTAATAAAACACGTTTATTTACTATCAGGCCCAGTGTAAATAATTGTTACCTGGGGGAACAACCAGGGTGCATCTCTCTCATTGATAAGGAGAGTGAACATCCTCATGAGTTTTCCTTGTGTAAAACTTTTACACAGAGAAATATGAATTTATTTGGGGGTTTGATCGCTTTTGGGGATTGTTTTCCTGGGTGCTGTGCTCCAGAACTGCATTCTCCCAAAGCTGAAGTGGTTCAGTGTCTGCATTACTCTGCTGGGGGCAGTTACCCCAACTCTGTGCCTGGTCTGGGGGAGACCAGAGGATCTGGTGCAGCAGGACATGGTGGTGGGGAGCCCAGAGAGCAGGAAGGTGGGTGTCAGTGGCATTATCAGCACATTGGGGAACAATCCCAAGGGGACTTCTCTGACTGCATTCTTTCATACCTTCCCCATGGAGCAGCTCACAACCATACCTAAACCGGTCATAAATGTAATAAAATGGGCCCCAAGCCCCCAACGATGGAGGGTGCATATTTGTCACACCCCTCATCTGTGATCACTAAATATGAACACCTTCATCTTTGATCACTGTAGCTTTCACTGAAATTCTTACCAAATTCTTGCCAAATCTTTGTTTTTCATTAGTGGCAAAGGTTTTGCTCCTTTATGATAATATTTTGTCTGATTGTATTTTCCCAGTGTTTTCCTCACTATCACAGACCCCTTAGTCATCCTTTATTTTGCGTCATATTTATAAATTGAGTATTTATAGTTGGTGGTAAAGCAGGTGACTTTCCACTTTGCAGTGGTGTAGCTTTATGGTTAAATAGTGCTACATATGCATCTTCTTTTCCATTTATTACTTTGTTGAGCAAGTTCTTCACTACGCATG